ACACACACACACACACATTAGAATATATTATATAATAATACTGGCGTCCAAAAGGAACTTGCAAATGTATTCACCCAATCCTTGTATTAAAGCAGAGACCACTCCAACAAATCGCTATACACAGAGACTAGGAAACTGCCATGGTTTGGTGTAGTTTGGCTGGAATGAACAAAACACCATTTATGAGAACCGACGGATGGCTTCGTTCAGAGGACTTCCTCGCGCAAGTGCTGGCACATCACGCCACATACCTTTCCAAGTACTCTCAAGCTAAGGAAGTCACCAAACTTTGGCGGTCGTTTTTCCCGCTAATTTTATTTCCGAAATCGGGCAACCCCTACCTCCTTCAATCCCAAAATATCTCGACTTCTTATTAAAATAGACGGGGTTTTTTTTTTTTACATCGACAGCAAGACAAATGAACAAGCCTTATGATGATGCCAATAACTCCACATGCCCAAAAATTGACGAGCGACTGATCCCACCGCGTTGAGACAAAAATAGATTCCAGCAAAGCTGACCATCAGGGAGAAGAACATTATTGTTTTCTTTTCCATTGATTGAACCGATCCGCCCAAAAGTGTATTGGGTGCTTAGAACCAAAGGCAGGGTCTGCAATAGATGGATAATGCACATTACGATGATTAAATAGTGCATTAGAATTGAAACTTACGATTATTACTTTGCCTATTTCATAAGTTGAAAAAATATGTCCCCGTTTATATATGGCTCTACAAAAACAAGTGATCAAGTGGGAGATTGCATTTGAAAAACATTCAACATTTAGAAGTCATACCAGATGGCCTGATGCATGTTTGTTAAAAAGTAATAAATAGGATCGAAAACCCTTCAATTACCGGTACTGAATGCGTGTTACACCACAACCGTCGTTTGTCACAGAGTGTGATCGGTTGTAATGGTTTTGTTTTACGTCCTCCTTGATACAATTAAAATGAATTAGGAATCTGGATGTTTCGACTCTGCTTGCAGTGTAGGATCAACTAAATCCATCGACACAATTTAGATAATTTAGGAGGCCGGCTTCGATCCTGTCTGCCAGGTACAACCCGGATTGAAGGGGATACAACGTCCCAGTGGAAAGACCAAGGTGCTCGATATACATTCTCCCCACACGGCAATCGAACTCAGGTCTTCACCGCAGACGCCTACTTAGAATATGTGTGCAGTTCAAAGTCAGAAGCCAAATGAGCAAGGGGTTGATCCCGGGAACTTTCCCTAGACCCCCCCCCCCCAACCCATGTTCGTGTTTCTAACGTATAAAGTCCCAGGGAGTTCGTGGTCGACCATATAGAATCTCAACACCAAACCAAAAGAATGCTTTCCCCTTAAACAGTCTGATGTTCAAATCCCGAATATAATTCAAGAAGAAACACACAAAAATATCCAGGTGGTAATCATCATCCAGTGCGAGATCTGCGACAGACGTCGGCGATCATGTTTCTCCATTCATTCCTTTATTCGGATGCTCTTAAAAAAAGCTATGTTTCTTTGATCTTTCCCAGTGACCCACTTGTTTAGGTTCCCTAAGTACGTCGCTATGGGCCTTCCGCTGCCTCGTTTGCATTCAATTTTGCCAGTGAGAGCTAGGTGTACAAGACCTCTATGTCTGTTCAGGTGTCCCAAAAACTGCATTTGTCGTTTCTTGGTTGTTTTTAACAGTGAGCGTCCCACGTGGGCTTCATCAAGCACTACCTCATTTGATTTCTTTTCCTTCCACGATATTCTTAGCAGTCTCCTAAGAAACCACATTTCTGTTGCTTCTATTTCACTGTCTTGAGTGATTGTCCAGCATCCACAGCCATATATTGAAGAGTTGACCATACATAGCATTTCAGAACGTTCATTTTAGTAGTCATTGAGACGTTTCTATTTTTCAGGATTGGGCTCATGTTATGGAAACTAGCCTTAGCCATTGCAGTTCTCCGTTTTATTTCCGCGGAACATTTGCCTTTCTGGTGCATTGTTCTCACATTCCATGTGACTGTTCAGTTGTTTCATTCTAATTTTGCAGCCACCTGCTGCCCGTGGCGGTCCCTACCGAGCGGGGAGTTCAGAGCTGGATCACGAACCCCCTTAACGCTGTTATCTAAGAAATGAATTTTCTTTTCCATTATTATTCTTGGGATGTTACAACAGTAGTTTTCCATTGCCTACTGCCGGTTTGTGTACAGTTTTCTCTGCTAGCCTTTGTCATCCACTGACAACTCACAAGGCAGTGAGAGCTTTGGTAGGATTTATGGCGCCTCCCGTCGCCAAGATGGCCCCTTCTTCGAGTGTGTGAGGTATTTATTGAAGCACCTGTGCCACCAGGGTTCTCATCTACTCTCCACGACCATCTCCCATTCAGTTCGCGACTGCTTAGCAACTCACTTCCCTATCTGGAGGCCTTTCCCCTATCCACCACCAGGGGGGGTAATATCTAGGTATAAAATAACGCGTACTTATGCGGAAATCAAATCTAGAATCTATGTCTTCTCTGTGTGACACATACGAGTCAAGTCATTACATCACACACGTCAATAAAATAGCCCGGAGTCATTGCTCCATGGTGAGGAAGTACGGGCATCTAATCTCTTGCTCTTGATGTCTATCATGGAGAGGGACTGAAGTCTAGGGTGTCACAGTACGGCTCTTTGCCGTTGTAC